GCCTAGCACAGTAAATTCCAGCTATTGTCATCGTTTGAATTTGCATGTACTCACATCTTTTGAGTCCTTTAGCATGCTGGAGTTTCAGTGTCAGGTCTGTACTTGAAACCATGTAAATAGTTCCAAGGCATCTCTCATTTTACTTCCTGCGCCTCCCACCTTCATCCCACTCCTAGCACTCTGACTGCTCTGCTTTGCAGGCACTCTGTTTCCTTAACAGCATGTGTTTTGTTATCCCTATTCTCTTGTTCAGTCTGAGTAAAATTATTTAAAAAAATTTTTTTTTAATGTTTATTATTAGAGAGAGCTAGCAGGGGAGAGGCAGAGAGAGATGGAGACACAGAATCGGAAGCAGGCTTCAGGCTTTGAACTGCCAGCGCAGAGCCTGGTGCGGGGCTCGAACCCACAGACTGCGAGATCATGACCCGGGCTGAAGTCGGCTGCCCAACCGACTGAGCCAACCAGGCACCCCAGAGTAAAATTATTTTTAAGACATAGTGAACATCAGCTCTTTTCCCTACAGTTCTTGAACCTCATTCCCTAATCTTTCTGTTACTGTGTCTGGAGGTAAGTACATAGTTCTGAGAATTGCTTTTTCCCTGTGACTATCTTTCTCTTACTAGGAGAAAGTAGGGGTATAAGGAAAGGAAACCATAACATCCAAAATTGGATTAAAATATGAGCTTCAGATTTGTAAATAATTTAACTGTTACTTTCTTAGTAAAAAAAATAAATGACAAAATGTTTTTGTATTCCGTCACTAATTCGGGAAAAATTAATTCTAGTACATAAAGGGGAAGAGGAGAAACTTAGAATTGTAGAAATATAAAAAGGTGAACTAACTTGATTTTAAAAACTGAGATCTAAGAACCTGAAACTTCACGTGCAAAATATTTACCATAATGCCTGACACACAGTAAATGCTCAAATTAATGGTATTATTACTGTTAGTACCTGGCAACATTAATCATAGTACTAATTATCAAAATAAATGTAGCAGATATTTTAAGATAGATTTCAGATTTGTAAATGACAAACTGTAGAATTTGAAGAAGTGAAATACATAGAGGGAAGATGTAAATTCATACTTACTTTATTGAGAGTCATTTTATATACTTATTTGAATTCTGTCATATGTAGGAATTAGATAATCATTGTTCCCATTTTATAAGTGAGGAAACACTCATTTATGAGAAAACATTCATGAAGCAATGAGAGACTAGTCCAAGGTTATAAAGCTAGTAGGTGGTAGAACCATGATTCAGATCTAGGTAGTCTGGGAGTTTCTGGCCATAATAGGGACTGAATTTTTCTTAAGGCCTTCACTAAAAACTGACACAGAATATGGGAAACAGTGGTGTGCAGACTGGAAAGCATGTAGTACAAGGCAGTGATCCCTGAAGGAAGGAAAAAAATGAAATAATCTCTACAATTGGCCCATATTATGTCCATCAGAGTGGAAAGGCCTTAATGCATGGTGCATTGAGTAGAAGATTCAGAAGGGTTTTACTTCAGTAGTGAAGCCAAATTAGCCCCACACTAAAGGGTACTCTGGTTCTCCCTAACAAGTGTAAAAGCAAGGTCTAAAAGTATTAAACTATTTCTAAGTAACCTAACAGCATAACACAATGAAGATTTTAAAGTATGTAAAGGAATCCAAAAGTGTCTAGTACTGAAACAAACAAACAAAACCCCATAAAATTCACAATGTCTGACATCTAATAAAAAATGACTGGGCAGCCCAGATTGGTTCATAAGTTATGGGTTCCTAATAAAACATTTAAGGAAGAAATTATGTCAGGTCTCTGCAGTCTTTTACAGAAAATAAAGTCAGAGGTAATATTTCTTAACTCATTCTGAGAGGCCAGATACCTAATACCTAACCTAATACCTAAACCAACCTAATATCTAAATCAAAGACAACAAAACAAAACAAAAACTATAGACCACTGTCTCTCATGAACAAAGATTTCAAGAATCCTGAACAAAATATTAACAAATCAAATACAATACTGTATAAAAAGAATAACACACTGGGAACAAGTATGTTTTTTTAAATTTTTTAAAATGTTTTAACGTTTATTTATTTTTGAGACAGAGAGAGACAGAGCATGAATGGGGGAGGGTCAGAGAGAGAGGGAGACACAGAATCCAAAGCAGGCTCCAGGCTCCGAGCTGTCAGCACAGAGCCTGACGCAGGGCTCGAACTCACGGACCGTGAGATCATGACCTGAGCCGAAGTCGGACGCTTAACCGACTGAGCCACCCAGGCGCCCCAACAAGTAGGTTTTATGCCAGCCATGGAAACCTGGCTGAACATTACAAAATGAATTAATGTAATTTGTCACATCAACAGGCCAAAAAAGAAAAATCAAATGATTGTATCAGTTGATGCAGAAAGAACATTTGACAGAATCCAGCATCCACTCATGATAAAAACTCTCAGCAAACTAGGAAGAGAGGGGAACTACCTTAACTTGTTAAAGAACATCTACAAAAACCCTATTGCTAACATCATACTTAATGATGAGAAACTTAGAGCTTTCCCACTGAGGAAACAATGAGGCAAGGATATCCTTTTACCACTCCTTTTCAGTACTGGGAGTCTTACTCAATACAGTAAGACAAGAAAAGACTTACAAATTTGGTAGAAATAAAACTTTGCTCAATTATCTATGTAGAAAATCTGAAACAGTGAACAAAAAACTCTTGAAACTAGTAAGCAGTTACAGTGAAGTTGCAGGATAATGTACAAAAGACCATCACTTTCTGTGTAATAGGAATGATGAGGTAGAATTTGAAATGAAAAACACATTATCACTTGTGTTAGCATCCCCCAAAGGGAAATATTTAGATACAAACCTGAAAAAAATGTAGAAGATCTATATGAAGAAAACTACAAAACTGGTGAACAAAATTAAAGAACTACATAAATGGATAGTGGATAGGAAGACACTGTCAGCATGTCTGTTCTTCCCAACCTGGTCTATAAATTCAGTGCAATCCCAGTCAAAATGTCAGCAAGTTACTTTGTTGATCTCAACAAACTGCTCTTGAAGTTTATAGAGAGAAACAAAAGACCCAAAACAGCCAATACAATATTAAAGAACAAGGTCAGAAGACTGACACCGTCTGACATCAGGATTTACTATAAAGCTGTTATAATTAAGACTGTGTCCTACTGGCAGAAGAATAGACAAATAGATCCATAGAACAGACCAGAGAGTCTAGATATAGACCCATACAGATAGAGCCATTTGGTCTTTGATAAGGAAGAAAAGGCAGAATGGAGAAAAAGTCTTTTCAACAAGTGGTACTAAAACAACTGTAAATGCACATGCAAAAAAAAAAACAAAAAAAAAAAAATCTAGACACAGACCATACACCTTTCACAAAAGTAACTAAAAGTAGTTCTACTTTTAGACCTAAATATAAAACTTAAAATTATCAAACTACCAGAGGATAACATAGGGGAAAACTTAGATGACCTTAGGTTTGGTGATGACTTTTTAAATACAATACCAAAAACATGATATATGAAAGGAGTAATTGGGAAGTTAGACTTTATTAAAATTAAAACATCTGTGAAAGACATTGTAAGGAGATTAAGAAGAGAAGCCATTGACTGGTAGAAAATATTTGCTAAAGGAACACATGATAAAGGACTGTTATTCAGATTATACCAAGAATTAATAAAACTCCACAATAAGAAAAAAACCTAGTTTAAAAATAGGCCAAGCACTTTAATAGACCTTTCACTGGAGAAGATATACACATGCAAAATAAGTGTATGAAAAGATGTTAAACAATGTATGTTATTAGCGAATTGCAAATTAAAACAAGATACCACAAGACACTCATGAGAATGGCCAGATCCAAAACACTGGTGATACTAATTGCTGGTGACAATGTGGAGCAAAAGGACTTGCCAGCATTACTGGTGGGAATGCAAAGTGGTACAGCAACTTTAGAAGACAGTTTGACAGTTTCTTACAAAACTAAACATAATCTTACCATGAGTTGCAGCAGCCATTCTTCTTGATATTTACTTAAAAGAATTGAGAATTTATTTCTGTACGACCACCTGTGCACAGTTGTTTCTAGCAGCTTTATTCCTACTTGCCAAAATTTCAAAGCAATGGATATGTCCTTCAGTAGGTGAATGGTTAAATGAATTGTGGTACATCCGGACGTGAACAGATATGGAGGAACCTTTATTACATATTACTAAGTGAAAGGAGCCAATCTGAAGAGGCTGTATATACTGTAGTATTCCAAATATATGACATTAAGGAAAAGGGAAAACTATGGAGACATTAAAAATATCATTGGTTGCCAGGGATTAGGGGAGAGGGAGGGATGAACAGGTGGAACACAGAGGATTTTTAGAACAGTGACACTATTCTGTGATATTAAAATGGTGGGTACATGCCAGTATACATTTGTCAGTATCCATAGAAGGTACCACACAGGAGTGAGCCCTAATGTAAACTATAAATTTTTGGTCGTAATGTGTATTACTATATGTTTATGAGTAGTAACAAATCTACTCCTCTGATGTGAGATGCTGATAGTGGTGGAGGCTGTGGGTATGTGGGGGTAGGGACATATGGGGACTCTCTGTATTTTCTGCTTAGTTTTGATGTAAACCTAAAACTGCTCTAAAATGCAAAGACCTTTTTTTTTTTATAAAGACTTTTAAAAAAAGTTTCAGTGTAATTAACTTACAGTGTTATATTAGTTTAAATGTACAATATAGTGATTCAGCAATTCTGTATATCACTCAGTGGTCATCATGATAAGTGTACTTTTGATCCCCTTTACCTATTTTACCCCCCACCCCCCACCTCCCCTCTGGTAACCTCCAGTTCTCTGTAGTTAAGAGTCTATTTTTTTTGTCTCTTTTCTTCTTGTTCATTTGTTTTGTTTCTTAAATTCCACATATGAGTGAAATCATATGGTATTTGTCTTTCTCTGACTTATTTCACTTAGCATTGTACCCTCTGGATCCATCCATGTTGCTGCAAATGACACTGTTTCATTCTTTTTTATGACTGCGTAACACTCCATTGTGTGTGTGTGTATACACATGAGATCGTCTTCATTCATATATCAATGGACACTTGGGTTGCTTTCATAATTTGATTGTTGTAAATAATGCTGCAAGAAACATAGGGGCTCATATATCTTTTCAAATTAGTGTTTTCATATTCTTTGGGTAAATACCCAGTAGTGCTATCACTGGATCGTATGGTAATTCTGTTTTTAATTTTTTGAGGAACCACCATACTGTTTTCCACAGTGGCTGAGCCGGTTTGCATTCCTGCTGACAGTGCTTGAGGGTTCCTTTTTTCTACATCCTCACCAACATTTGTGTCCTCATGTTTTTGATTTTAGCCATTCTAACAGGTGTGAGGTGGTATCTCACTGTGGTTTTGATTTGCATTCCCTGATGATGAATGATGTTGAGCATCTTCTCATGTGCCTGTTGGCTATCTGTATGTCTTCTTTGGAGAGATATCTTCTCATGTCTTCTGCTCATTTTTAGTTGAATTATTTGTGGGTTTTTTGGTGTTAGGTTGTGTATATACTTTATATATTTTGGATACTAACCCGTTACTGCATATGTCATTTGCAAATATCTTCTCCCATTCCATAGATTGTCTTAGTTTTTTTGTTTCCTTTGCTGTGCAGAAGCTTTTTATTTTGATGTCATCCCAATAGTTTATTTTTGCTTTTGTTTCCCTTGCCTCAGGAGACATATCTAGAAAAATGTTGCTATGGCCGATGTCAGAGAAATTACTGCCTGTCTCTCTCAAGGATTTTTTTTTACAGGTTCAGGTCTCACATTTAGGTCTTTAATTCAGTTTGAGTTTATTATTGTGTTTGTGTAAAGAAGGTGGTCTAGTTTCCTTCTTTTGCATGTAGCTGTCCAGTTTTCCAAACACCATTTGTTAAAGAGATTGTCTTTTTCCTATTCCATATTCTTTCCTCCTTTGTTTAAGATTAATTGACCATATAATTGTGGGTTATTTCTGGGCTGTCTATTCTGTTCTATCGATCTGTGTTTTGTTGTGTGTGTGTGCCGTACCATACTGCTTTGATGACTGCAGCTTTGTAGGATATCTTGTGATCTGGGATTGTGATCCCTTCAGTTTTGTTCTTTTTTTCCCAAGATTACTTTGGCTATTCAGGGTCTTTTGTGGTTTCATAAAATTTTTAGAATTATTTGTTCTAGCTGGGTGAAAAATGTGATTGATATTTTGATTACATTAAATCTATGGATTGCTATGGATAGTATCAACATTTTAACAATATTCCATGAGCATGGAATAAAAACTTTTTAATTGACTGGGCTTGCAGAGAAGCAGGAGAATTTATTTCATAATGAAGAAAAAGATCAATCAGCAGAAACAGACCTAGAAATTACAGAATTAGTAGACAAAGTCATTAAATCATACCTTCAAGAAGTTAGGGGAAACCTTGAACATAATGAGAGAAAAATGGAAGACATTTTTAAGAAAAGATTCTCTTCAAAAATACAGCTGACCCATGGACAACAACTGCACAGATCCATTTATAAGCAGATTTTCTTTTTGATAGAGTACTGTACTATAAATATATTTCTCATTATTTTCTTAACATTTTTTTTCCTCTAGGTTATTTTAAGAATATATATATATTCTTATATATATAACTATATATATATATATATATATATATATATAACTAGATACTAACTAGATACTAAATATGTATCAGTTGACTGTTCATATTATTAGCGCTTCTGGTCAACAGTAGGCTATTTATTAGCAGTTAAGTTTTAGGGGAGCCAAAAGTTACACATGAGCTTTTACTACAATGGGGGTTGGTGCTCCACCCCGCTGCTTTGTTCAAGGGTCAACAGTCTAAGTGGAAAATAAACTGGAAGTGGATTAGACACTGCATTAGAAAAGATAATGGCTAAATTGCAGATTTTGCAAAAGTAACTCTCTAAGATGGAATAGAGAGAAAAAGTATAGGGAAAAGAAACACTTAACACATAGTGGACAACATCAGATAATTCAAGTTTTAAAATGAGAAGGGAAGAACAGAAAAAAAACATGTATTTTTTAATATTTATTTATTTTTGAGAGAGAGACAGAGCATGGGTAGGGGAGGGGCAGAGAGAGGGGGAGACACAGAATCTGAAGCAGGCTCTAGGCTCTGAGCCATCAGCACAGAGCCCAATGTGGAGCTCAAACTCATGAACAGTGAGTTCATGACCTGAGCTGAAGTCAGACACCCAACCAACTAAGACACCCAGGTGCCCCAGAAAAAAAATATTTGAAGTAATAATAGCTAAAGTTTTCAGATGTTATGAAAATTATAAATTCACAGATCCAAGACTCTCAATGAAACACATGCACAGAAAACAGAAAGCTATACCAAGAATACATTGGTTCATATTACTTAATGTACTTAACTAGTGACAGAGAGTAAATCTTAAAAAGAACCCAGAAAAAAAAAAACCAAAACAAAACACCCAGAAGACCTCCCAAAAAGATGGAGTAAATATACTTTTCCCTGTTCATCTTAGTAAGTAAAACAAAAAACTTTGGACATTATACATAAAACAAACATAGGATGCTGAAAGATGGAGAAAAGGCATACAAGCTAGAGGACCTTGGGATCCAAGGACTGACTGGTATGTTCCCTGGGTTTTCATTTTGCCTCACGTTCTAGACTTGATGCTGAAGAACCTAGCAGTTTCGCATGGACAGTAAAAAGCCCCATCAGAGGCTATTCTCTCCAGGCAAAGCACTAGAATACTGTAGTAAAAAGCAGCCCCATCCCAACCTAAACAAGCAAAGGCCAGTGGAGCACCTAGATTTCCATCTTCCCCAGGCTATAATGGAGAGACCTAATTTTCAGCCAAGATGATTACCAGAGAAGGCAAGGTAGGGACCCAGGACTTTCATCCACACTTGGCAATAACTAGGGCTTCCACCTTCCTGCCACACTGGCATTAGAGTTAACATTGGGAACCTAGATTTCCACTGCTTCAACTAGCAGTAATGAGGTGTCCCCCTCCCATCTCTGCTTGGGTCATGTCAGAAAAGGCTTAGTACAGAATCAGGACTTTCACTATTGTCCAGCCCTGGAGTGTTAATGGAAGCCACATTTGACTCTGTGGTGTCAGTGGAGGCCACGTGGGGAGCAATAAGTCATTCCTATCCCTGCCATCTAGGTTGCTATCCATGCACCTAGTAGGAGCTGGAACTCCTACTTCTATCCAGCATGGGTGTCATGAAGAGCTTCTCCCCACCCTTGGGTATCATAGAACTAACGTGGGGAATGTGGACTATTACATGCACTTGGTAGTAATGAGAGGTAATAATCCTTTCTCTGCCAGAGCCATGTCCTAAAAAGCCAGCTAAAATAAACTTTAAATAAGATCCAGAGTCTCCTAATACAATACCCCCAAAGTCTAAATTTCAGTAGAAAATCACTTGTCATACTGAGAGCCTGGAAGATCTTAAACTACATTAAAAAAGACAATAGATGTTAACATTGAGATGATAGAGATATTATTAGAATTTCCTGACAAAGATTTTAAAGCAGCCATGGTAGAAATGTTTTACTATATAATTATAAAGTTGAAACAAATGGAAAAAATAGAGTCTTTAACAAGGAAACAGAAAATGTAAAGAACCAAATAAAAATTTTAGAACTGAAAAATATGACTGTTGAACCCCCTCTCCCCCTCACCAAACAAAACAAAATACAAACCCTCAGTTGTTGGGCTTAACAGCAGAATGGAGGGGATAGAGGAAAGAATCTGTGAACTTGATGATAGAACATTAGAAATTACTCAGTCTGAACAAGCTACAGAAAGTATATTAAATAACACAGAGAGCCATAAGTTCCTATGGACTATAAGAAAAGATCTAAGATTTTTGTCCTTGAAAAGACAAAGAGGGCATTGTTGAAAAAGTACTTGGAGAAATAAAGGCTGAAACATTATCACATGCAGAAGGGAAAGAAGTAACAACTCATAATTATCCAGCAAAAAATGTCCTTCAGCAATGAAGAATAAATTAAGACATTCATAGAATAAGGAAAACTAAGACAACATGTTGCCAGTAGTTCTATCCAAAGAATGCCTATGGGAAATTCTCTAAACAGAAAGAAAACAGTAAAAGAATTAGCCTCAAAACATCAAGAAGGCTAAAAGAACACAGTAATCAAAACTATGAGTATATACAATAATTGTTCCTTTCTTGAATGAGTTTTCTAAATTTTGTTTGATGGTTAAAGCAAATATTATAGTACTGTTTGATGTGGTTTTAAATGTATATACTGGAAATTAAGACAATTATAAACAAGGGCAAAGGATGTAAAGAGAAGTAAAATTTCTAACTATAACTTGAACTGGTAAAATGAAACCAGTAGGCTATGATAAGGTATATCTAAGTAATTCCCAGAGCAACAACCAAGAAAGCTATACAAAGAGATATGCTCAGAAAATTATAGATAAATCAAGTGGAATCCCAAAAAAATGTTCAAGGAACCCACAGGAAGGCAGGAAAAAGGAAACAAACTTAGAACAAGAAATAGGAAAAAAAAAAAAACCGAAGCCATAAAATATTTATAGTCACAATAAAGGTAAATGGTGTACATGTAAAAATTAAAAGAGATTGATGGAGTTGATGTTAAAAATGAAAGACCCAACTATATGCTGTCTATAGGAAACCTCAAAAATAACAATATAGGTAGTTAGTAATTAAAAGGATGGAAAATTATATGTCTTATAATAAAAGAAACATAAGTGGTTGTATTAATATCAGATAAAGTAGACTTCAGAGCAAAGAAAAGTATCTGAGGTGGAAGATTATATAATGATGGAAAATGTCAGTCTGTCATGAAGATGGGAATACTAAATGTGTATGAACCAAACAGAGCTGCAAAGTACAGTAAGCAGAAACTAGTAGAACTAAAAAAAAAAAAAAGCTGAATCCATAATTATTGTTGGAGATTTGGCACCCTTGTTTCAACAATTGATAAAAAAAATTTGAATCAGTAAGGATGTAGAACTCAACAACACCATTAACCAACAGAATCCAATCAACATTTATAGAACACTTTACCCAACAAGAGCACCTAAACACGTTTTTCTTCAAGTGGCTATTAAGGGTATACCCAAACAGGCTATATCTTGGGCCATAAAATAAACCTCAACAAATTTATAAAAATTGAGACTATACAAAATGAATTCTCTAACCATAATAGAATCAAGCTAGAAATCAATATCAGAAAGATAGTAGGGAAATCCTCAGTTGGAAATGAAATGATACCCTTCAAATAATTCATAAGTCAAAGAGGAAATTTCAATGAAAACATATTAATAAAAAATAATTTTAAGAAATACATTAGCCTGAATGAAAATGTGGATACAGCTAAAGTATTGCTGAGAAAAAATGTGTAGTGCTAAATGCATTCATTAGAAAACAGGAGAAAAATATCAAATCAGTAATCTAAGCTCCCACCTTAATAACCTAGAAAAAGATCAACATACACCCAAAATAAGTAGAGGGTAGGAAATAAGAAAGATAAGAGCAGAAATTGAAAACAGAAGAGCAGTAGAGAAAATCAGTGTAGCAAAGAGCTGTTTCTTTGAAAAGATTAATAAAATTGACAAACCTCTAGCAAGACTGCCAAAAAAAAAAAAAGAGGGAAGGTACAGATTATCTATATCAGGAATGAAACCGAGACTATCACTACAGGTCTTGCACACATCAAAAGGTTAATAAGGTAATCTGGTGAATGGCTCTACCCAAACAAATTTGACAAACATGGATAAAATGGCTCAAAAGGCAGATACTACCGTAACTTACCCCATATGAAATAATTTGAATAGCCATATAACTATTAAGGAAACTTAATTCATATTAAAAACTCACCAAAAGAATGGTTTCCTTGGAGAATTCTACACAGTGTTTAAAGAAGAATGAAAACCAGCTCTATACATGTCTTACAGAAAATAAAAGAGGAGGGATGTTACCAGTTGGGGAAACGGTAAAGGGTACACAGAAACTCTGAGTTATTATTATATTTTTAATGTTTATTTATTTATTTTGAGACAGAGTGCACACGAGTGAACACAGGCGTGAGCAGGGGAGGGGCAAAGAGAGAATCCCAAGCAGGATCTGCGCTGTCAGCACAGAGCCCAGTGTGGGGCTCAATCTCAAAAACCATGAGATCACGACCTGAGCCGAAATCAATAGTTGGACAGTTAACCAAATGAGCCACCCAGGTGCCCCATGAATTATTTTTTACAATTGCATGTGAACCTACCATCATCTAAAAATAAAATTAAAAAAAAATGTAAGCAGGAAAAAGTTATAAAAGTAAGAATGACAACAGACTTCCTTTTGGAAATAATATAAGTCCAAAGATGGTAGAGAAATATCTTTAAAATACTAAACAAACAAACAAACAAACAAACAAACTTAGGCTGTTTGATTTCAGAACCTGTACTCTTAACCATTACTCTATGCTGCATCATAAAGATCATAAAAACAGAGATGGAGGGAACAATTAGATAGACTCCTTTTTCCTTTTTCGGAGAGGAAACTCCTGGTGAGTTAGAGTGGTACGACCATCCTTTGAAAAGAAGATAAACAACAACTGTTCCTAGTCCCAGATCTGTTTCTCGTTTCTGTTGTTTCCTTTACTTCAACAATTTTTTAAAAGTAAAATTGGTTAATAGGTCATGTTTCCTGTCAGGTAAGCTTATATTCTAGAAGAGAATAAAGTAAATGTAGGGTAACAATACGGGCAAATTTGGATAAATGTCATAAAAGAGAAATTCAGACAAAGCCTTTGGGAAATTTAGAGAAAGGATTGAGAGTACAACAGATTAAGGCTATCAAGAAAGATTGAGTGTGAATCTGACTGAGAGTGGAGGAAAAGGGCAAAGCTGAGGATATGTCTAAGATCTGTGTCCTGATGACTAGGGCAAGGGCAGTATCATAGCAGTGATTAAATATAAGCTCTTTGGTGGCACAGTTTTGTGATTATTTGCTTGTCTGTTAGGTTTGTAATGTATCCTTACTACCTAGAACAGCCCTGAGTACATAGTAAATGCGCAATAAATATTTGTTACATGAATGAATAAACGAATAGAGAAATTAGAAGGCAATGGTCACCAGATTTCGTGGGGATGATTTGATAGTGAGCTCTAGTTTGGGAGTTACAATTGTGGGATCTAATTGTGACTATGCTATTAGTTGGCTTCATCCATAGTTTGAACTATCACTTCAGCTATCACACACATGACTTTCAAAACTATTGGAGAGAGCAATAATATAGGAAACATGCTCGTCAAGAACATTAGCTGTCTGACCTTGCATGTAAAATGAAGATGACAAGAGAAGTTACTGTTACTAAATGCAATTTTATGTCTAGGGCACTTAGCTTGGCATTTGGTCATAATACTGAGTAAAGGGCACCATTGTTTGAACTTGAGTTCCACTTGGACTTTGACCTAGATGAGCCAGCCACCACACCTCTGGTATAGCACATTAAAACTAAAACTGTATTTGAATTACCTCATGCAAAAAGCTAAATGGTATTTCAAAGATGGCCAGCTAAATACCTTCATTTTACTTGGTGCCAAAGTGAAAAAGTAACTTGCACAAAGTCACACAGAGAATATGGAGGGAAAAAGGTAGTCAGGGACCAAACTTGTGGGGGGTAGTGTTTATATGTAAAGGGTGGGAGGAAAAATAGGAAAGAGACACTAAATTAGTTAGGCTTGAGGCTGAATTTTATAGCTGCCTTCTAGGATGAATTTTATTTTCTGGGGAAAAAAATGGTGTTTTCCTGCTAGATAGCTCTACCTGTATTTCCCACTGACATCTTTAATTCAACGTCTCTGAAGCCAAATTGGAATCACTGCATGTTAAAACTGAAAATGATTTTTGAGGGCCTTCAGTCTATACTCTCATTTTAGAGATGAGGAAAACAGATTCTGCTCTGTGGTGGAGCTCTCACACTTCTTAGATTCATTAGTAGCAAAGTGAGCCATCATTCATCTCTTGGGTCACTTTCACCCATGTTGCAGAGTGTTACTTTAAGTCCTTTTGGGTTAGAGTGAGGCTTCTAGGCTCATCCTGGCTACAGACAACCTCTAGTGTTGTTAAGAGCAGTCGTTTTTTGTTTTTGTTTTTTTTTGTTTGTTTGTTTTCTTTAAACAGCTGACTCCTTTCAGTTGAATCACACGAAGAAACCCCATATATAAAAAGAGACAAAAAAAGAGGAGTTGTTCTGGCTAACAAAGATTTGGTGGTGATGGTGGTTGGGCAGATCAGGGAAGAGAAAGAATGAGTTTTACCCTGATAACTTGGCCCCTGATTCCTGGAGGTGAGGGGCCTCTGAAGTTGCCTCTGAGGTTAGGAAGCAGTGTGAAACTCCGTGATTTGGAGGCCTGAGGGGTCCGGCGGTGAGGGTTGGTATGAATGAGAAGACCACTTGTGTTTCTGTTCATCTTATTTTCCTGTGACTTTTCCACATACCCTGGAGTAATAATTTTTAGGTCTTTCTGGAATCTAATAATTAAGAACTAGGCCATCAGTGCAACTAGGGCCTAAATAAACTCTCAGCTACCATTTTAAAACTCTCATCAGTCACATTTGTAGGTATTTACACAGACAAGCAGCTTTTTTGTGAATTAAGTGGCCTTGAAATAGATAATTTTATTAGTATAGACAAAGCTCAAGTATTGTCACGTGAGGAAAAGCTTAGTGGCAATCAGCATATTGATCTTGCATAAACCCTTTATAATGTTCTGATGAATTATAAAATACTTGACATATTTTTAATTACTTTTATACTATTATTTATAATTTTGAATTTTAGCAACTGATGAAGCCCTGTGCTTAGAAGACACCATGGGGAGATAGAGGGAAAATAGGACAAGGTCCTTGCCCTCACATTTGAGTCATGCTGAGTACAGAATGAAGAATGTGACATTTTAGGTTTTTATCCTTTGTACTTGCTTTCACTACCTCAACTTCCATATTGTGTAATTTTTAATTTTAATTTACCGATGTGTAAAGCATGTTCATGACTGAAAATTCACTAATTTAAGATTCTGTGCTTTCTTTCAAATTATTACTAGATTGCAGGACTGGAGAAAGATAAAGAAGAACTACATAATCAACTGCTTAGTGTTGATCCCACAAGAGACAGCAAACGAATGGAACAACTTGTTCGAGAAAAAGTCCATTTATGTCAGAAAGTAAAAGGCTTAGAGGCTGAGGTAGCTGAATTAAGGGCTGAAAAAGAAAATTCTGGTGCTCAGGTAGAAAATGTCCAAAGAATCCAGGTACGGCAGTTGGCTGAGACGCAGGCTACAGTCAGATCCCTGGAGGTAAGATTGTAATTGCTTCCCGGTAGAGTATGGCATACTTTTTTGAAAGTGCAATCGACAAGCCTTTGATTTTTAGAGCACAAATGTATGCTTACCAATCTAATGCTGATGCATTTGTAGAGTCCCAAGAGTATAGATTCTTTTTGTAAAGAAGAAAGCTATTGATTCATAAGCAATAGCTATGCTACTACATTTACAAAGGGATTATTTATTCTTTGGGAGCCAAAATACCTAGCCAAAATGATTTAACCCTTGAAACGCCAAAGAGTAGAATATGCAAAATTTTCAAAATTTGAGTTTCTGAGGATTAAAGTCATCTCCAACCAGAAGGAACAATTTATTCCTGGATAGTTATTTCCTTACATGGGATTCAAGGTATTAAAATCAAAAGACCTGTTTAAATAAAAATACCATACTTTTATATCTTATGACAGCTTCTTGCCAGAGTAATACAATTCAACTTGGTACTAATGCATATAAGTCTTTAGTGAACTATTTTCCTGAGTTTGTTAGAGAAATATAAGAGCTGGCAGAGCTAGGCTGGTACTCCTAGAGGTATTCTTCTATGAAAATTCTTGGTTTCCATTGTTGGAGAGGAAAACTTTCTTTATACTCTTAGGTTCAGTGATTGGGGATTGTGAATTAAACTGACAATAGGTTAACAAGAGAAAAGATGGATATTTATGTAAGTAAACAGGAGTTCACAGAAAAAATGTGGCTCAAAGTGGTAGAATTTGGGGCTTGCGTGTCATCCTTTTAAAAAATATTTATTTTTGGGGCGCCTGGGTGGCTCAGTCGGTTAAGTGTCCGACTTTGGCTCAGGTCATGATCTCACGGTTCGTGGGTTCGAGCCCCACGTCGGGCTCTGTGCTGACAGCTCAGAGCCTGGAGCCTGCTTCTGATTCTGTCTCTCTCTGTCTCTGCCTCTCCCTTACTCACGTTCTGTCTCTGCCTCTCAAAAATAAATAAATGTAAAAAAAAATTTTTTTTTAAATAAATAAAAATAAACAATATTTATTTTTGAGAGAGAGAGAGTGCAGGGAAGGGACAGAGAGAGAAGGAAACAGGATCTGAAGCAGGCTCTGCACTGAGAGCCTGATGCAGGGCTTGAATTCCTGAAGCAAACTGTGAGGTCATGATCTGAGCTGAAGTCAAAGGGTTAACTGACCCAGCCACCCAGGTGACCCTGCATACCATCTTTTTTTAAAAAAATTTTTTTTCAACGTTTATTTATTTTTGGGACAGAGAGAGACAGAGCATGAACGGGGGAGGGGCAGAGAGAGAGGGAGACACAGAATCGGAAACAGGCTCCAGGCTCTGAGCCATCAGCCCAGAGCCTGACGCGGGGCTCGAACTCACGGATCGCAAGATCGTGACCTGGCTGAAGTTGGAGGCTCAACCGACTGCGCCACCCAGGCGCCCCATGCATACCATCTTAATAGGGAAACGAGACAGGGAGAAAAGGCACTTAGGGGAACACAAATGACTTTTAGGAAAGATAAACAGGCCCTTAGGAAAATAGATGGGAGATATGACAGTTTTGTGACAGTGTCTGTATAGGTGATTTTTTATCCTTCTCCCTAAATAGGAGTCAGTCTTCACTGGCTATAAAACCCAGACAAGGGGATTTATAATTCTTTTTGGTGGCTCTGGTTTTTGGTAGCAGAGAGGAGTTCGGGGGAAAACCTTTTCCTGTGTCTATTGATTATCAAATGCCTTCAGCTCAAAATAATTTTTATGCCACGGTGACATTCTGGATCCCTTAACCACCTTTTTTAGGTATGCTTACTTTTCCTGGTTTTTAGTGTCTAACATATAGCAAATATACTAGTTTTGAGCAATCAAAAACTAGTTTTGATTTATTTTGAGCAATCCAAAGTGTGTGTGTGTGTGTGTGTGTGTGTGTGTGTGTGTGTTTAGAATAGTTGTGAAATGATTAGACTTGTAGGGAATTAGTGGGCATCTAGCAAAATAGTGATTTTTTTTTCAGCCAAAAAACTGGGTACAGCCAAAATATTGATATGTTTTGAAGAATAGAAGTAATCTTTTTATTTTTTGATGAAGCTTCTGACAGTATTTATTGGTTTCCTGAACTAAAATTGTATCATTGGACCTTAGACATGAGGCAGTTCAGAATGAGACTTTTATGTTGCTACCTTTCCAGTATTAATGTATTTATAGTGACTGAGTAAGTGGATGATTGCAGTTGAATACAGTGTTTGATCTCAATGCAGAGCTTTTTATTGAGGTCATTTGGAGTGCTGATTTTCAGGACAAGTTCAATGATTACAAAAGATGGGAGGTTCATTTGTGACACTTTCAAAGAGTTAATTTTATCATTTGTCAGATGAAATGAGAATAAGCACATGAGAAGAAGCATTTTTTCTTCTTTGATTTTTTTTTTGGCTATCATTGTGCCTGCCCAAAGACTATCATTTTATATTTGAGGAAAATAGTTTTTTCTGAATTACTTGTTGAATATACTCTTTAAAATTTTTATTTTTAATGTTTATTTATTTTTGAGAGAGACAGAGGGCAAGCAGGAAAGGGGCAGAGAGAGAGGGAGACACAGGATCTGAAGCAGGTTCCAGGTTCTGAGCTGTCAGCACAGAACCTGATGCAGGGCTTGAACCCACAAACCGTGAGATCATGACCTGAGCCAAAGTCGGACGCTTAACTGACTGAGCCACCCAGGTGCCCCTGAATATATGCTTATCGTATTTAAGATATATAGGAAATGAGATCTTATAAAACCGTGAAGCTTATTTTTTAAATGTCAAACATTTTAACTATTTTGAGTGGAAATATTTTTAAAAAGCATTTAGTTTTCATTTTCAAGTTAAAGAGTACTATGACTGTTATCAACCAGAAATTTTCTTGAAAATTTACAGACTTAAGAATCTTTATTATGTGATGGAATCAAGAGCTATTGAGCTCTTTGTTCATACTTCCAGAGGCTCCAGATTGAAAATTTTGAATTCTTAAATCTCTCTTTTTTTAATCTCCCTTGATTTTCAGATTTTTTGCTCTCACCTACTATTACAAATGAGCCCTTTCTTCTACTTTCTAATATACTTTTATATTTCTGAGATGCATTGAAACCCCCAAAAATGTTTGTTCAAATTATGTCAGCAAAAAGAGTAAATAGGTGTCAAGTGAGTACACAGAGGTACACTCTCATGAGAGAAGTTTATGAGTTGTATTTTGGTGGTGTCTGTTGATAATGTCATTTGGGTAGATACTCTTGTTACATATTTCCTGGAGCAAATATTCATTTTAATTCTACCAGTTACTTTGAGGAAACTCTTGTTGTTTTGGTGCATGTTAGTATTGATGACGTTTTGAGTAGTTGGGGCTAGTATGATTACACATATATTTAAAATAGTGCTTATTTTTATATAATTCCAACATTTATGAATAAATTAAAAAACTTTTTTTTAATTAAAGGCTGAAAAACAGTCAGCGAAACTACAGGCTGAACGCTTGGAAAAAGAGCTACAATCAATCAATGAACAAAATACTGTTTTAATTAGTAAATTGCATAAAGCTGAACGGGAAATAAATACATTGACCAGTAAAGTAAGTCATCTTATGTTTGTACTTCATTCTTTTTTTTTTTTTTTTTCCAACGTTTATTTATTTTTGGGACAGAGAGAGACAGAGCGTGAACGGGGGAGGGGCAGAGAGAGAGGGAGACACAGAATCGGAAACAGACTCCAGGCTCTGAGCCATCAGCCCAGAGCCTGACGCGGGGCTCGAACTCCCGGACCGCGAGATCGTGACCTGGCTGAAGTCGGACGCTTAACCGACTGCGCCACCCAGACGCTCCTGTACTTCATTCTTTAGAATGCTTGATACTGCATAATGGCAAAGAAATTTTGTATTTTAATACTTTACTTCTCTGTATCGGGATCTCTTTTTATTTTGTCATGCTACCTTCCAGTACATTCAGAATGTGATCAATTTTTACCACCTCTTCTGTGACCACTCTTGTCTAAGCCATGATTTCTTGAGGTTCGATTTTTATAATAGCCCCCTAACTCTCTGCCCATTCAGAGCTCTGCGTAATCTGGCCTCTGCAGTCTTTCCACGGCCTCACAGTCCATTTTCCCTCCTGTTCACTTTGCTCCGGCCTCACTGGCCTTCTTTTCACTCTTACTGACTTCTGTGTTAGGACTTTGGCACTTGCCTGCCAGACGTAGTCTTCCCTCACGTCCTCATAGATTGCTTTCTCACGGCACGTTATCAGAGAGGCCTGCCTTCTCTTCACTTTGTAAAATACCATCTTGCCTCTTCCTGCCTCACTGTCTGTCTCCCTTATCTGCTTTATTTTTCTTCGTAGCTCCTAACACCATTTGATATATATTTATATTTGTTTATTTTTTGTCTCTCGTGTCCTTTCCCACCCCCTTTTCTTTCGACCAAATATCAGCTTTAAGAGTAGGGACATTTCTTTTGTTATTCCTTGTATCTCCAGCTCCTGGAACAGTGCTGGCACACAAAGTCACTCAATATTTGTTAAGTGAGTAAATTAATAACAGCAGCATGGTCTGCATTTATGTTATTTAAAAAAGTTTTTTTTTTAATGTTGATTTTTTGCGTGTGTGAGAGAGAGAGCGTGTGCACGTATGCACGTGCAAGCAGGGGAGGGACAGAGAGAGAGGGAGACACAGAATCTGAAGCAGGTTCCAGGCTCTGAGCTGTCAGCCCAGAGCCCAACTTGGAACTCGAACTCACGTGCCCAACGGTAAAGCTGAAGCGCTCAACTGGCCGAACCACCCAGGTGCCCCTGCATTTATGTTATTTTTAAAAGAATGTATATAATGGTTTGCACATCTTTTATATACTAAGTTTTCTCAGGAACTTAGTTTTTTCTCCCTCACATGCAGTATATATGAGGAATCTGGTCACCAGAAATAGGATAGCAGTGATAAAAGTATCTTGTAGAAAACTGTGGTGAATAACAGCATCAGCTCTGGAGTCAGACTAGATTCAGTTTCATTTCTTTTCCTTACTAACTGTGTGACCTTGAGCCAATTTACTTTCTCTCTGAAAATTTTAGTGTTTTTCTTTATAAAGAAAGGCTGATATCTACCTTAGAGAGTATGGCAAAGATTAAATGCAATATTATGCATAAAGCACTTAGCAAAATGTCTAATAGATAATCGCCGCAAATATTAGCTATTATTAACGGTAGTACTTGGGGGTATTTTAAAATCTAGGAAATAAGTCTGGTTTCTGAATCCATGCAATCAAGTATTTTCCATCAGAGCAGAGCAGAGTTCAGGTAAAATTACCTTAAAAAACAAAATGGCTCCCAGACTAGAAGGAATTTACTGTAGCCTCTAATAGAAATGAGTTTATCTAAAGAAGTAATGTATTCATCATAAATTCCTTGGCCAAGGAATTACTTAAGAAGACCTAGGCACTGTTGATGACAGAGGGAAGATTGAATTTTAGTGAGTAGGATGTAAGGATTCTAGTCTCATTGAAGAGATAATTCTTACTGTGGAAAGGAATATACCCATCTGTTTTTTATTAGTAAGCGTGAAAATAGCAATTCATTTCATTCCATTTGTTCTAATCGTATGATCACCAAACAACTTTCTGTTATTTGACTTCCAATGTAATTTTGTCTACAGGGAGAAAATGCCCGCTGGTCCTTTAGACTTAGAGTGTTCTAACATCCATTATAATTTTTTCTCACAGTTACTGTAACTGACATTCTGATTTTATAGATGTCTTTATAAACTTTATTAATGTGAATCTAACCTTGAGAGTGGTCATTTCTGTGCCTGAAAGTCCATAAACCATAATACTAGATGTATTAGATGCCTCCCTTGGGAGATAGTCTACCCAGTTTTTTCCATGGCAAACACATACTTTTTCATGTTTGCAGATTGTATATCTAGGGACATTTAAAATTTTTGTTTGAATTTTTATACTTTACAGTTTACAAAGTGGTTTTGTAGCCGGTGTGTCATTTAATTCGTTAGACATGGCTGATGCTAGACAGAAGAAGTGAAAATTAGGCAAGAGGATTTTTAATTGTTGAAATACTTTGATTCAAGTGTAGTCTTCTAGTCTAGCCAAAATTGGTCATTTTGGAGGAGGTACTGAAGTGCAGTGGAAAAGTCTATGGGCTCTGAATCCGATAAATCTATCTTTTGATCCTGGCTCATTTATCTCATTCATCACCTATGTAAACTTCTGATTTGCTTAACTTTTAAGTGGGAATAATGCCTGCCTCTTACAGGATTTTTCTGAGATTAATGATAGTATTGAATGAAGTAAATAGTAGCTGGTGATGAAAGTAATGGCAGTGATTTTACACCAATGATGTCCTTAAATAAGAAAATGATAGAACACAGAACTGTGAACCCATTGACTAGTTTCCTTCCTCACTGTATCAATAACTGTGTGTGGAACTTTAGGCAAGTTTCCTCATACATGAAACGAAACATTGTTGTAGGTCATCCCTAGGAACTCTTTCAGCTTCCTAAAGTTGTGTAAGCCCTACTGGAAAATAAATTAATAATACAATTGCTTCCTGATTAACCTAAGTAGATTATTTATACATTCAGATGTGTACATATTGAGAGATATACATTGACTTTCTACAATGATAGAGTATACAAAGAAATAGATGCAAAACACAAACAAGTAAATGTAGGAAGTTCTCTCATGCCTTTCTTCCAGTTCTAGTATTGCTAAGAGTTGCGTTTTTAAAGGCATACTTGCATTTTTTGCATATAAATGGCATATTAAAAACCACCCTTCAGCTTTAGACAAACCAAATTTTCACTTAGAATCATGCATGTAAAAAGATTTCATTGGAAGGATAAATTTTAGAATGATATTTCAAACACGATTGTCACAGTTTTCTTTGCAACTTGAAATTTTCATCAATATTTTGCAACTCTAGCAAATGGTTGTTTGCAATGCAAAGGAGCACCTGGGGTGTATTTGTCTAAGTTATTCAAATTTGTAAGTGTTAGGGTTTTGAACAGAATTATGTCCGTATGACTATCAGTGTCTTGGATTAAAAAGTATTACCAAAGATGGCCTGAAAATGGTGACCTTAAAGATATTTCACATTCAATGAGATAAATTGTGGTTACCTCAGGAAGTATTTGATCTTTAGAATGCCAGTAACATAAATACAGTTTTAAGGAAATCATCACACACATTTATCCTTATTAGCTACGTTAATGAGGTCACACCATCTCAGACCTCTGAAAAATATCAGAATTTAAGTACACACATCATCAGGAGCTTCTTGAGTAATACATTTTTTACAACTATATTTTTCTTGCTTACATATATTATTTTCTTCCATGTCTTTGTGTATATGTGTATGTGTAATTTAACAGATTCTGAATCCCTGTAAAACTATTGCCATTGTTTATATTTCTTAAAGTTTACTGGGTAGTACTTTCTGAATTCTTGGCTCCTGTTGTGTCAAAAGCATTAAATAAATTGGCATCATGAAGGCTAGCATGGAAAACATATTATGAAAAATAAAAGGAAAAACGGGGTACCTTAGCCCAAGGGAGCTTTAGAAGACTCTGCATCTCTTGAAATTATATGTAACATTTTAACATTGTACACTTTGTTTAGGAAAAGATCTGTAGTTTTCCTAGGACTTTTGAGACCTGATCACAAAGAAGGTGAAGAACCAGAGATTTAGAGTCAGAAAGAAAAGTTTATTATGACTAGTTGGGATCTGGTTCAGATTACTTACAGAATGTGCTACTGTCATAGCTATGTAATAAATATTGATATAAGTTTCTCATTTTTAATAAATAAAATAATTCCTTTTAATATATTTTCAGGAAGTTAATACTTACTACTAGTATAAGTGCATTCATTACGTTAGGATCATAGAAATGTGGCACTAAAGAAAGCTTAAACTCATATAGGCCCATAGATGAATAAATGTGAATGCGAGATGACAAATACTTTGCTTGAGCATATACCACTAGTTTAATAATAAAAGTAGGCCTGAAGACAGACTTCACTTGTTTGACTTCCTGTCTAGAATTCTTTCAGTTTCAATAATTACAGTTTAGTTGAAAAATATTTTCTCATTTCAGTATATCTCAGGGTGAAATGAATTAAGAAATGGTTTTTTTTTTTATAGATTTTGTAGTAGTTCTTGTTGAAATGAATCAAGTTTATGCAAAATAAGATGGCTGTAATTTTCCACCTCTTATTTAGAGAGGCTACAATGTGGTTTGTTAATTAACTGCTATGTCATTCTTAACCTTTTACAGTTAGTATATAATAGCAGGCTATAATTTCATTTGTTATAGAAATTGGATTTTCACTGTAGTTATATTTCTCCAAAATTTTAAAACAATTATGGTTTAAATTCTGTCCATGAAATTATAATATAGTAAAGCCCAGTCTACAGAAAGTTTAAGTTATCAAGATAAATGCAGTTTCTTAGCTGCTTTCATGTAGTTTCTGTGAGACTTGCTTTCATGGAAAAGAGCTTCAGAAATGTTTAAAAACCTTATGTCAGCACACTGTATTCATTTTATGTAGTATCATTTAAAAAATCGATAAGTTAATTTGAAAGCATGCATCTTAAATGTGGTTAGCAGTACAAAGGTAGCCCAGTACTTACTTGTCTGTTTCTTTGGATTTTGGCCAAACCATTCCTTATAATGTTTTTAAGACCTTTCATAGATGGAATCTCTTTTGGTAAGACACTTCTATTTCTTGTTCTTCCCCTCTTTAGCTCTAGGAGCTCTTACTGATTTGTTTCTAACTCCCATCTTTAATTTTTGTAGATTCCTGTTGCACTCAAGTAAATTATCCTTTAGTCTTCTGTTCCCACCGTCTTCTGTTTTACATATTTGGCATGTATATATTTGTGGTTTTCTACTCTTATTTCGTAGTTTCATGCATGAGTGTAATATGTCAGAGTACAGGTTTATCTAATTTTTATGTCTGTATTGGTTAAATCTTTATTATGGGATTAACTATAAGACTAACTTTAGAAGCACCTTACCATAGGGAAAGGATATGGAAAATATTAGAGAGTAGTGCAGATTAATTGGAAGAGACTAATACGCTTTCTTGTTTGTTTCTGTAACCCCAGCTCCTAAAACAGTGCTAGAGCACATAATAAGTGCTCAGTAAATATTTATTGAATGAATGAATGAATGAATACTACTTATGAACTAGAATCATTCAACTTTCAAAAGGAATGTCTCATTGAAAACTAAAAACTGGTATGTGATAGGTTAATTATATGGAAAATATTGACAATTATTTCCATTCACTCAGGGCTTTAAAAGAATCAGGTTTGGGCAGTAAAAGTTTAAATTAGATAGGTTTTATATTTGTTCTACCCACTGCCACACACACACATGCACGCATGCACGCACAGACACACACACATTATTTAATAACCGAATTCAATTAATTCTTCCTTCTTGTCCCCTTTATCAATCCTTTGCCTCTTAATTGTTTCTTTACCTTCAGTTTCTTAATCTTAATTTGCATCTAGAGTTAATTTTCTGAAACAAAGTTGACTGTGCCACCTTCAGTAGCTAACAGGATACACAGACCTTTGCAATGGCATATAAAGTTTACTTCCACATATTTCATACCTTCCTTTGCTCTAACTATAACACATTGCTCATTGTTTTCCAAGCATACTATGTAATGCTACACCTATATAACTTTTTATATGCTGTTCCTTATACCTAGAAAGGCTTCATGTCACCAGCACTTTTTTTTTTTTTTTTTTAAATTTATTTTTGGGACAGAGAGAGACAGAGCATGAATGGGGGAGGGGCAGAGAGAGAGGGAGACACAGAATCGGAAACAGGCTCCAGGCTCTGAGCCATCAGCCCAGAGCCCGACGCGGGGCTCGAACTCCCGGACCGCGAGATCGTGACCTGGCTGACGTCGGACGCTTAACCGACTGCGCCACCCAGGCGCCCCTCACCAGCACTTTTTTTAAAGGGAGGTTTCAGCCAGTCATTGACTACTGGATTTTTAGGTACTTGCAGTTAAGCCTTTTAAAGCAAGATTAAGCCAGATGACCCCCACCCAGGTATCTGTAAAGAAATAACTGAGTTTTGTTAGGAAAAGACTGTTTTCTTAATACCAAATAGTGTTCAAGGCACTGAAGCACCTTCTCTCTTGGAAGGTATACTTACACTGTATACCCTGCTACCAAAACATTTTCTCATTTCTCCTGATGTTTTTGGGTAACAGTTAATGGCCTATAGTAATTTCAATTTCTGATTATCAACAGGTAAAAGAACTTAAACATTCAAACAAACTAGAAATAACAGACATCAAACTGGAGGCAGCAAGAGCTAAGAGTGAGCTAGAAAGAGAAAGGAATAAGATTCAAAGTGAACTAAATGGTAATATATGATTTCCCATGCTTTTTACTATTATTTTTACATATAAACTCAAATTATTAAAATAGATCAAACTGAATTTTTATTTTCAGACTGAATTTTAATCTTAGAGCACATGGATTATTTTTATTTATGTTGAATGTTCATTTTGTAATCTAGCTTTTAAGAAAATCTTATGTTTATGTCATTTACTTGATTAATACTTAAATGAGACTTTACAAATGGGAATCCATACTTTCTGGGTTTATAATTTTGAATCTATTTAGATCATGTGATTATTAGTCCCAGACCGTTTTGAGTCTAAAGAATGTAAGGAAGATAGGTGGGTTTCAGACCCAATTTCTGTTTTTTATGTAGATAGTAGGCTTGTTATTGAGCCTACTTTAGCCTAGGCTTATTTTAAGTTCCACTTTAGTCTTAGAATGCCCTTCTCTTCATGATTCCTCAGAATTATGCTATTTCTGACTTTCCTTCCCCCCCCCCCCCGCCCCTGACTTTTCTTAAAAGGTGTTTAAATAAGCTACCTTTGGCCTGTAACTTTCCTCAAGTGGGTCTTTAGTTGAACTGATGTCTGTAGTTTCAGACAGAGCTTGTGATGAATTAGTGTTTTCATCATTTATTTCTATTTGATATTGATTGATGGGTTTCCATTGAGTTAGGGAGTAACGTTTCTTAGGAATTTCAAGAGTTTATGATTTAGTTCTGCATTCTTTTTAAACTTGAGTTAGGTATGAATTTATTTTAGTTATTCCATGTGCAAAATACTTGCCATATCAATACAAGGAAAATTTGTGAATTCATTGGATAAACTTGAAAGTTTCTAATTTATATTTCTACCAGAAACCTGACAGTTCTGTTAGAATGATAGGTTTTGAAGGTTTCTGTGATTTTTTTTATACTACTTCCAGCCAGCTTTATGATGATGCTATCTGTGGGGCTAAGATTACAGAACCCTTTTAGAAGTGAAGTATTATATATCTCTTTTGATATCATCTGGGTTGATGTCCCCAGCTCTCAAGAGTCAAGTGAGTAAATATAGTCTTTTATTAAAGTGTGTGTGAATGGACAGGATGGTTAGCTCTGAGTTTTAGTCTGTTTCATAAGGTTTATCAATAAAGATTTAGAGATCTTCGAGAATATATATCCAGACTCACTTTCTATGCTCTTTTAATTGTCTTAATCAGTTTATGGATGCTTGCTGTTATGACTTTTCATCTTAATAACATTGAATGCAGCATATTTTTTTCCTTCAAAAAATGTTAGGGTTACAGTCAGACAATGAAATTCTCAAGTCAGCTGTTGAACACCACAAAGCTCTCCTAGTAGAAAAGGATCGTGAATTAATACGTAAAGTACAAGCTGCCAAGGAAGAAGGTTATCAAAAACTCGTGATATTACAAGATGAAAAGTAAGTACTTAATTACCTTACTTTGTGTTCAGTCTTTTTGTAAATGAAAACATTTTGCTGTCATATCATCGTTATTGTAGTTCTTCTAACATAATTATCATCTGTTGTTTTAGGCTAGAGCTTGAGAACAGATTAGCGGATTTAGAAAAAAGGAAAGTGGAACATGATGTCTGCAGACAATCTGAAAAGGATCAGTGTGAAGAGAAATTGCGAGCTTCACAGATGGCAGAAGAGTCGGCCAGAAGGGAACTTCAGAGTATTAGGTTATATATATGTATATATTTTTTAAACTTCATTTTGAAATAAATTCAGAGCTCACAAAACATTGTAACAGTCATACAGAGGATTTCCATATGAATTCATGGAGATCTCCAAAAACGGACATCTTCCATAACCATATTACAATCATCAGAACTAAGATACTAACATCAATATAATGAGGAAACAAAATAAATATTACACTTACTCAGCTTACTCAAATTTTACCAATTATCCCATTGATAGTCTATTTCTGGTCTAAGATCCAATCCAGAATCATACATTACCTTTACTTTTAGAGTGCTAGCCAGTTATTTTGTAGATCACCCCTCAGTTTGAGTTTGTCTTAAATTCTTTGTGATTAAATTCAGGTTGTAACATGTTTAGTGAAAATAATACCAAAGTCAAAGTCTTGTGTCCTCAGTGCATTATATCAGGAGGTATATTATTTGTACCTTACCCTTACCTTACCCTTACCGGTGATGTTAACTTTGATCACTTGGTTAAGGTGATGTGTGCCAGATTTTTCCATTATAAAGTGACTGTTTTTTCCTCTTTGTGATATATAATTATCTTATGGGGAAATATCCTGAGACTATGTAAATTTTCTCATCATACTTCTGCATAATACATTCTTCCACTAATTTTAGCACCCATTGGCCAAATATGAGACAATTTGAGCAATGAAATAAGTTATAATAAAAGATTACAGTCCATAGGATAAAATAAAAATCTATGGATCCAAATGATATAATGTGTAATTATTTTTAAATTTTTATTTTAGAGAGAGCACAAGAGGGGAGGGGGGACGGAGAGAGAGAGAATCCCAAGCAGGCTCCACACTTAGCTCAGAGCCCAACACAGGGCTCGATCCCACGACTGGATCGTGATCCGAGACAAAATCAAGAGCTGGATGCTCAACCAACTGAGCCACCCAAGCACCCCTAATGTGTAATATTTAGAGAGAAGGAAAGCTTTTTTCAGGAGAATTCCAACTAATAAATGTAGAAAGAATAATGGAAATAGGAAAACATCATTTGGCAAACATGACAGTAGCAATAATAGGTATGGTGTTGCAAATTTTCAAAGGTTTTCAGCATCTCTGGAGATAATCATGATTTTTCCTCTCTTACATTATTAATATTGTGTATTAATGGATTTTGTAATCTTGAAACAACCTTAATTTCTGAAATAAGTATCTGTTTATTCCATAGAGAACAACTTGTTAAGGCTCTCTTTCTCTATTGGGATCAGTTTTAATCATCTGTGTTTCATAAGAAATTATTTGTTTCATCTTTGTTTGCAGATTTATCTTCATAGAGATCTGCAATATCATTTTTATTTTTTAATTTCTTTTGTTTCAATGCACCTTCCCTTGACCATTTCTTATTTTGTAATTGTCCTTTTTTCTCCCCTCTTTCTTTATCGAGTCAGCTATTGCTTTGTTGATTTTATTCTTTTTACTGTGATAAAATATACATAACAGAATTCACTATTTTAGTCATTTTTAAGCATACAGTTCGGTATTTTTTTAAACTAGGAATTTGATTTATGGAGTCAACTGTTTTTCTATTTCCTACCTCATTAATTTCTGCTTCTTGATTCTGTGTGTTTTTTTTTTTTTTTGCCATAAAGTTTTTATAGTTGTATTAGTGTTTAATGTACATAAAATAAAATTCACCCATTTAAAAAATGTACAGCTTGATGCCTTTTGGTAATTGTGTAAAGTTATGTAATCACCACAGTAAAAACATAGAATACTTCCATCACCCTTAAAGTTTCCCCATGTCTCTTTCAGTTGACCTCTCCCCTGATCCCCAGCCTTAGACACCCCCTGGTTTATCCATGTTATTGCATATGGCAATAGTTGATCACTTTGTATTGCTGATTGGTATTCCATTGTATGGATGTAATGTGATTTGCTTTTTCTTTTTCCTTTGATGGACAGACATTTGGATTGTTACTAGTTTGGGGCTATTATGAACAATGCTACTATGAACATTCATGTACAAATCTTTGGGCATATGTTTGTCTCTTGGTTAAATATCTGAGAATGACTTTGCTGAGTGATGACACATGGCAATGCTGTTTTATAACATATAGCAATACTGTTGTACAAAGTAGTTACGCTATTTTTCATTTCTAGTAGCAACGTATGAGAGTTCCCCTATGACAGTTCCATTTGTTTAACACATCTTGACTGACACTTGTTAATCTTTTTAATTTAACTCTAGAGGATGTGTACTAATATATCACTGTGGTCTTAATTTGATTTTCCTAGATGGCTGGAGATGTTTATTTAGCATCTTGTAATGTGGATTTTTGATGTGTCTGTTCAGATACTTTGCCCATTTTTAAAATTGGGGAGTTATCTTCATATCGAGTTATAACAGCTCTTTATTTGGCGTACAAGTACTTTGTCAGATTCATGTTTGACAGATGTTTTCTCCCAGTCTGTGGCTTGCTTTGCTTAAATTGTGTCTACTGAAAACAGATTTTTTTTTTTATTTTGATGAAGTCCATTTTATCATTTTTTTCTTGTTTGTGTTTTTTGTGTGTTCTGTTTGTTTAAGAAAGAAGGCTTTGCAGGGGCTCCTGGGTGGCTCAGTAGGTTGAGCGTCCGACTTCAGCTCAGGTCATGGTCTCATGGTCTGTGAGTTCGAGCCCTGTGTCGGGCTCTGTGCTGACAGCTCAGAGTCTGGAGCCGGCTTCGGATTCTGTGTCTTCCTCTCTCTCTGCCCCTCCCCCGCTCGTGCTCTGTCTCTCTCTCTCTCTCTCTCTCTCTCTCTCTCTCTCTCTCTGTCAAAAATAAACATTAAAAAAAATTAAAAAGAAACACAGAAAGCTTTGCATAATCTTGTGTCATAAAGATTTATCTTATGTTTTCTTCTAAAAGATTAATATTTTGTTTCTTACATTTAGGTTTTCTGGTCCAATTCGTGTTAATTTTTCTGTAGTGTGAGGTGATGGTTGACGTTCATTTTTATTTTATTTTATTTAAAAAAAAATTTTTTTTTCAACGTTTATTTATTTTTGGGACAGAGAGAGACAGAGCATGAACGGGGGAGGGGCAGAGAGAGAGGGAGACACAGAATCCGAAACAGGCTCCAGGCTCTGAGCCATCGGCCCAGAGCCCGACGCGGGGCTCGAACTCCCGGACCGCGAGATCGTGACCTGGCTGAAGTCGGACGCTTAACCGACTGCGCCACCCAGGCGCCCCTGACGTTCATTTTTAACTTCCACTTGTTCCAGCATCATTTGTTGAGGACTGTCTTTTCTTCCATTGAATTCTTTTGGTACCTTTGTTGAAAATCAGTTGACCATATAAATGTGTCTGTTTCTGGACTCTTACTTACATTGGTCTGTTTGTCCATCTTGACACGAATATCACACTGTCTTGACTACTATGGCTGTGTCACAAGTGTGATTCAGGTAGTGCAAGTCCTCTGTACCTTGGTCTTTTTTGTCAAGATTGTTTGGCTCTTCTAAGTCTTTTGCCTTTCCATATAAACTTTAAAATCAGCCTGTCACCTTTTTCAAAAAGGCTTGTTAGGATTTTGATTGCGATTACATGAATCTGTAGCTCAGTTTGAGGAGAGTTGTCATGTCAACAATATTGAGTCTATCCAGTCCGTTAATATGGCCTATCTTCTCATTTAATTATATCATCTTTAAGTTTTGTCATCAGAGTTTTATAGTTTTCATTGAATATGTCATGCTTGTGTTACATTTTATTTCTTAGCATTTTTATGTGATTATAAATAGGAGTGTTTTTTTTTTTTTTTAATTTCACTTTCTAATTGCTCATTGCTGGCATATAGAAATACAGTTAGTGGACTTTTATGTGTTGACCTTGAATTCTGTGACCTTACTAAAGTCATATGTTTTCTACTAGCTGTTTTGTAGATGTTTAGAGTTTTCTAAGATCATGTTGTATACCTTATGCTTTCTTTTAGTTTACTTTGTTCATTTTTTTGTTAAATTTTGAGTTTGGAATTTAACTCAACAAGTGTTTGTTCTTTCATTAAAAAAAATTTTTTTTTAATGTTTTGTTTATTTTTGAGAGAGAGAGAGAGACAGAGCACGAGCACAGGAGGGGCAAAGAAAGAGGGAGACACAGAATCCGAAGCAGGCTTCAGGCTCTCAGCTGTCAGTCAGCACAGAGCCCAACGCAGGGCTTGAACTCACAAACTGTGAGATCATTCATTACCTGAGCCAAAGTCGGACGCTTAACTGACTGAGCCACCCAGGCGCCCCTCGTTCTTTCATTTTTATTGGTGAAGTTTCTCACGTGAGCTTTTTCTTATCCCTGCTTTAAAAATATTCTATAGATTATGACATGTAGTGTTTTAATTATCATTAACTTTTTAGAATTTCTAATTCAATTTGTAGTTTCCTTTTCACCCCAAAATTAATAGATGTATTAATAGAAGGTGGAATTGTTTAATATGAGGTAAAATTAATAGTTTGCTAGGGCTGTCATAGTAAAATACCACAGATAGGATGGTTTCAACGTTAGAAGTTTGGGCTTCTAGACTCTAGAAGTTTGGACTCTAGATGTTTGAGATCTCAAGGTGTTAGCAGATTTGGTTTTTCCTGAGGCCTCTTTTGTTGGTTTATAGATGGTTACTTTCTTGCTCTGTCCTTACAAGGCCTTTCCTCTGTGTGCATATGTCTCTAGTACCTCTCCCTCTTCTTAGGAGGACACCAGTCATAGGGATTAGGACCCACCCAGATAACCTCATTTAACTCTAGATACCTCTTTAAAGGTCCTGTCTCCAAATACAATCACATTCTAAAGTATTGCATCTGAGACTTCAACAGAACGAATTTTGGGGAGACACAGTTCAGTCCGTAGCAAGGTTTTTGAATTTCCAGGTGGGAGGGCTTTTTGCTTATTTACTTTGTTAATTTCTAGTTTTACTGCATTGAAATCAGAGAGTACTGTTTCTATTATTTCTACTTTATGAAATGCTGTAATGTTTTCATTGTGACCTAATGTATC